ACATCCCAGAGTTGTCAGGGAGTGGTCAAGCATCCTTGGTGATGTTTCTCTGATGCGCTTCAGACCTGAACAAACCTGATGTAATTTCCCATGGCACAGCTCTCCTGCTGCAGCGGTTCTTTTAAGGTCCTTCCTAAAGCCATCAGCTTGGAAACAGGATTCCACTATGCAATGATCAGTGTGCCATAGTCTATATGAACTGTCTAGGAAACTCAAAGTACACGTCATCCAGTGGTTCTGTGAGTGCTGAGAGGATACTGCCCTGTACTTCTGAGCTGTTCTAAAATCTGATGGAGTAATTTCAGGTCAGCTTTTGTCTGCATTCAGATGGCTGATTTTTAGAAGTCAACACTGTCTAGGTTATGCCCATTGTCTAGGTTACGCACACATCTGTTGGCATATTTCTTTCACTCGTACACCACCTTGAAAATTGGGTTAAAGTAACAGAATGCCTGTACAGATACTGCCAAATTTAAGAGTCGAATAAAACTGTTTCAAATTATATGCTGTGACTAGAGCTAAACTCACTGTCTACCAAGGAGGACATCATGAAAGCATGAGAAAGAACTTGCAAACCTCCATACTCAGCAGAGGACAAAGACTTACCAGACGCTTGAAGAGATGTACTAAAGGAAAAGAGAAAAATCAGGAACAGGTAGAGAGCCATGCTTGAATGATTCAGTCTCTTCTCCCCTTCACTTCAAATTGATGCTGAAGACCAAATCTGTGCCTTGCAAGAAAACCCTTCTGCACTGAACCAAATTAGCAAATCCTTTTCAGCTCTTAAGACTTGACAGATACAGGGAAGTTCTGAGTTGTAAAGAAGGAACTCTATCGTGTCACATGAGTAATTTTGAAATGATACATTAATGAATAAGCTTTGCTTTCTAAGCTAGTTTCTCTACTGCATGAATGTTTTACCTTCCATGGAAATACATCTATGAGGTAACATTTTAGTGAGGATTTCTGGAGACATACCTTACAATTCATGATCATTATTTTTATGAAAATTTCCTTTACCAGAAATAAAATAAAAAGGTAAAAAAGAAGAGGAAGATTTGTCTATATCAATAAATGATGAAAAAAAGCCAGAGTTTAATAGACACCTTGCAAATCAAGTAACTATGACCCTGGAATCAGAGAGAAACAGAATTTCCATGTCTTCAGTTTCACAGAAAAGAGAAAAGCTGCAGAAAATAAGACCTGTGTTCTTCAGGAGGCACGTGTCCCTTCTTTTGCTCCATTCCTGACCATATGCAGGAGTAATGTACCCAAACTGACAGCAACAATGGAATAAATTCTGAAAAGAAATCGCACAGTTCTAGAAAGAAGAGAACATGTAACTGGAAAACAGTGGATTTTCAATTATTGTTAGAGAGAAAGACTAAACTGATAAGGAATACTGCCACATTTTTCATCCTGCTAGTCTGTGAAAGTTTACGTTCCCTGAAGTGCACAACCCTAAGGCTTCTGACAGTATTCTGATGGTCACTTTGAAAAAGATCTCTCCTTCATGACAGGTAAAATAATTAGAAACATACAGAAGGTAGGGAAGAGAAAAGGCACTACTGTGGAAGGTTTACATCCTTTTTTGCTTATGGCCTTTGAAAAAAATCACTTCCCATATATTTGGGAGAGGCTGGTTTGGGATAACTTCCCCAATATTGTATTTGCAGCAAATACTCATTAGGGTCTTTCCCTGAAAATTGCTGCTGTTGCAGGCAATAAGAACCCTGGACATCTACATGAAGATGTGAGATCCTGCTTCTATTGTTCTGACTCATACGCACATGAACATCTCACTGGATCTAGAAATGTACACAAGGAATTTGAGCAGAAGAATTACAACAGTGACAGAAAATAGTGGGACCTGAAGGCCAGCACGTACAGCCAGACCAAACCATGGAAAGAATGGGAGCCTGAGAAGGACACTGAAACCTGAGGAAAATGAGAGAAAAGAGAAGGCTGCTTCAATATAGCAGCAGATGGTCAATTACTCAGTAAATTCTGATGCATATGCAAAGATGGCTGCCCTGAGTCTGGAGTAAAGCATTCTGGTAATCCCCAACATGGGGACTGCTTAACTCTGCAATCTCAACTTTGCAACTTCCCTTGCTTCCTTGTTCAGGAGCTCCAGATGTGCAGATGGAAAAAACATTCTTATTTATTATTTAGGCAGGAGTAATGTAATATGTTGTGGTTCCGCTGTATACAATATCTTGGCATCTCCAAAGCTACCAGGAGGCAACAAGTACAATGACAACAGGGGAAAAGAAACTAGTTCTGCTCTGAAGAAAGATCGGTGTTTGGTGAAGGACTGTTACCAATGATCTGCCACGAGAGGCTGAAAAAGGATAAAACATATTAAGGTTAGCTTCACCTCAGAGTTTGTATGTTTGTCTGAGCAGACCTCATTGCAGCCCATAAAGCGGTAAAGAAAATCAGAAGATTGCAAAGATGCACTACAGCATCTTTTACTTGGCAAAGCACAGACTGACGTTTTAGAAGTTGCGAGGAAGAAAGGCTGCTGGGTTTTGTGTTGAGTCAGCATTGTTCCTTCAGCAATATCCCAGGCAGGAAGTTACATTCACAGTGTGCAGATTCACCACCTTATCTCTGAAGTCTGAACTCTTCTGGAGAAAAAGGGGAAATGAAAATTAAGCACAAGGGTATCAAGAAACATAGCAACGTGCAAAGACACAAACCTTTACACGCTATCAAATATTGACATCAAGTCACTCCTCAGCTGCCCACAGAAATGCATGGGTGGGTCCATCCAGGTTCAAGCAGATGCTTCCCTACAGAAGTTAAATAATTCATTTTCAGAAAACACTGTATTAAAATCTGAAAGGAAATTGTGCTACAACTTCATATAAGATAGTCTTCTGTAACTTGATATAAGATTTCAACCCAGAATACCCACATACAACACAATCGCAGTTTCCAACTGAAAAAGGTCTTTAAAAAGGAAGACATGCTCTAAATGTCAGTAGAAGCATTCTAGCCTAAAAAAAAAACAAACAAAAAACAAAAAACAAAAAAAAACACAAACCAAACAACCAAAACACCAGAGAGTGAGCATTTCCATTTCTCTAGACAGCCTCCAAACATACTGAAAGAGCAACATAAGGCACCTTGCAATTTCATGCTATATTTCCATGCTACGTAATCAATCTTTCATTTATCTAAACTGCCAAGTTCAAACATAAGCGATTGTGGCATAATCAGAGAATTATGGATATGAATTATTAGTGATCAGTTTAAAATTTTCTTTGCTTTTCTATCCATCATTAATGTTTCTTGTTTATCAATAAATTATTTTCCTTGGTTTTACAGCAAGAATATTTCAGAAAAACAGATCCCAATTCCTCTGTGAATGTATATTTATGCAATACAGAGCCTGAAACCTCTCCTAAGTAGTGGCACTACTTAGTTCAGGAGACAAAATAAGTGATCACAGGAGCAACAGGGCAATTCTAAGGCAACTGACCGATCCCAATAGGAATAGCATCCAGTAGCAGAAAAACTGGTGAAGGATCAGAATACTTTAAGTAACAATATTGAATCCATACGAATATGAATCTTTTCCAAGACGACACACTGTTTTTTTTCAGTCAAATAGAGCAACATGGATAATTTCCCCAGCCAAATCTTTGAAACTATTTTGATGCCTTCTATTTAATCTTATATTAATTAGATATTGTTTAAAGTGTTTAAGCTTGTTCATTTCTCTACCTTCCATTCAGAAATTCCTATTAGGGTTTGTATATAAAGTATCAGTGCTCATCTTCAGCTTACTACATGGAACTGTAATGATATGCTGGGCTGTAAATGCCACTGTTTCCAAGTTTGCTCTCTTTAATGGGAAATTTGTTTCAATTCCATTACATTGAAATGCAAGTGACAGTAAATCATGTAGCTTAAATTTTAACTCCTCTTCTCAAAATCTTTCTTTTTCACCCAGGCTCCTTCTAAAATGAGCAGGCCAAGTAGATCCATCTTCAGAGAAGAATATCTGATCTGGAACCTCCTCTGTTTTTTCTGAATCCATTTGGACAGGAGAGCAGAACAGAAGCAGCTACACCTACTACCAGCTGTTAACTAGCATGACATTTTTAAATTCTCTTCAACCCAAAGGTAATGCTGGATTTCAGGCTGTATAAACTGGTGAATGACTATCCAGGATCCAGTAGCCAGATTCTCTCTCTGACACTTTTTAGCTGTAGAGATGTACCTGGTAAGTATGGCAAAGCACCAGAAATGAGACATTCCCTCAATCTTTCTTTTCTTTACAATCATACATTTGCATACATACATGTGATGCAATGTTATCTGGAAGAATCTCTTGGTGTGCAGATACTGCCTTAAGATGGTGCAGGGCCCAGAACAGAACTGAACTTTTGGGTAGAGACTGTATCTGTTTGGTGTTTGCCCAACAGCCAGTGCATTCAGGCTGGGATTCCAACCAGCACCTCTTGACCTTTCACTGTCCCTTTCACACACCTTTCCATCTGGCACCACTTCTCCATATAAGTGAAACGATGTTGTCCTTAACATCATTAGTCAGTCAGGAGGTTTCTGGCACATAAGCCACATCAGGTGACATGAAGAATCATTAGTTACTACTCCTTGAAACAGCATTCTCAAATAACTGTGAATTAAAAATGGAAACAGTAATAGGAACAGAGGCAAGGAAATAACTTAGAGAAAGGGAGCAGAGCCAGAGAAAAGGTGTTCCAGGACAAATTTACCCATCTTACCTACATTTGTATGTAATTCAAGATTTTTACTAAATCACTCAGCTGACATTTTTGTCTTGGTTTTAAGCAATCCCAGGACAGATTCAGGAAAATATGGTCAATATATTACTTGATTGCAACTTTGGATGGAATGTCGCCATGGTTCTATCATCTCCTTTTCACCTTTATCCTGTTACAGAGTCCTATACAGACAAGACTATAAAATGAAAAAAACTATTTAAAAAATCAAAGCTAGTTACTGTTTATTTCACAAAACAAAATCTGAAACCACAAATCTTGCAAGCCTTTGTATGCAAGTGAGGCATCATGCATGATTCATATTTTCCAAGATTTACAAAAGTTAAGAATAGAAATTCCAGATCGGGGAATCTAAGATTTCCATAAATGATAACTGATCTAGCCATTTTAGAAAGGAAATAGAATCAGTAGTAGCTAATACATCGGTAAAGCTAAATTGTTCCTGACTTCCAGCACACACCCCACTAACCTATGCTACTTACTGAGAGGTTGTGGGAGAGCAGTATCAACATGTGACCACAGTAACAGCTCTCCAGTACTCATAAACTTTCAGAACATGTATAGGTAATGTTCCTCCCCCTCCTCAGTATCTGTTGTCCTGATAAGAAGGAAGTTTTGCCATGACCTTCATCACCTCTCCCAGACAAACCCAGCTGAGGTCAGCCAGAACACTGGCAGTTAACACCAACCACACTTCTCCATTCCAGAGGCCTGCCCCCAGATTTTATCTGATTAAATTCTAGAACAAATAAACTACAAGAACTACATATTTGGTTCTATGTGCTGCATGAAATTGTGGGCACTGAAATTATAATGTAAAAAGATATTTTCCCCATGTGGTTCAAAGAAGATGTGCCTAAATACAGATTCGTCATCTAGCAACTACCCCTGTAGTTAAGTCCTTAGGAATACTTGAAAGATGGTAGAATTAGAGAGATGTTTGCTGAATAGCTTGGAGAATCTGCATTAGCATGGTTTGAAATACATCTGGTGCAGAAATTTCAAATCTTGGAAGCCTTCTCAAGTGGATCTATCTACATTTTACTTCCTTTATTGCATCAGTTTCTATTGTTCCATTAAATAATTAGTTAATATTATCTCTTTTCTTAAGACCCACACTCACATGTGTGGGTCAATATATTGTGAGATCTGAAATCTTGCACATTATACAATGGTTACAAAACAAAATAACTGCTGTATATAACATTACTCACACACTGAAACTGGCTAATACAGTATTTGCACATGAGAAAAGAGTTTTGGCTTAATCCTAATTGCATAATTTTATTAAAACAAGGCACATTTTATTACATTACATTTTACATTACATATTACATTACATTTTATTTTATTACATTACAATGTCGCATGTTCATTCTGTTCTATGTTGGTCACAAGATCCTTTGTGTCACTAGTTCCAGGAACTGCATCACTATTGAAATACAAATTGTTCTCAAAGCTGTCATTTGCTGGCAAGCGATTCTTTCTTCTTTTGTAGAAGAGATAGCCTGCAAGGCCACTTCCAACTAGGATGAGCACAACAATAACTACAATTCCTGTTTTACTGTGGCTCAGAGTGGAAGACTTCTCATCCTTCGTCATTGCTGAAAACAAACGCAAAGAAATTAAACTCTTTATCTGATTGCTGAAAACAATTTCTTTAGAAAGTATGATGTTTTAAGCAAAAATGTTCCATTTGTTTCAAAATAATGGGATATAGGTAGCAACATAAAATTAATTTATTTAAAAACATTAACATTGTATGTTATACTACAAATTATTATTTTTTTACATCTACATTTGAACACTGAATGGAGTATATTGTATTTTACTAGGAAATAATATGCTCCCAGGAAATAGATTGGGTACTCAGGTATATCAGAAAATGTAGGAGACATAATACAGAACATTATTTGTTCTGTTTATGATCTTACATCGGAATAGTTTTTGACTACTTGAAAGACAATATTCTTACCTTTTGTAGGCATTTCAGCTGGTGGCATTTCAGCTGCTGGTGGTATTTCAGTTGCTGGCATTTCAAAATATTGATAAAGAATTGTGTTATTATATTATTCTGTTATTTACTTCTATATTATTTATTACTTATTTCTATCCTTGGAACTTACTGAAAATCATATTCATATCCATACAAAGCTATATACACCTATCAAAGGTCACAGCACAATGGTTTACTGTATTCTGGTCTCATATGTAGCTATTTACATAAAGCAGCAGAAAAAAAGAAAAATCAAAGAGCTCTATGGACACACATCCTGACATCAGTGTAAAACCACAAGAAAATCTACACTGTATCTTCAGGACAGAAATGCTCAAACATAATCCTCACTATAATTACAAAATCTTGCAGTACTTGTTATCTTATATAAACATACCAAATGTAATAAATTTGGTTTGCCAAGATACATTAATGGCCTGTCTATACAGACAATTGAAATCACTCATGAACTCCAAAGTGTCTTAACACTTATCACATCCAAACGAAAATGTTTGTAGCTCATTTAAAATTCAGTATCTGGACCATGAAATCTGACTTGCTGAGAAAACTGGGTCACGATTTCAGATGAAGATCTGTATTTTGCCACATGGACATAAAATCAGTTTATAACTAAATCTTGAATTAATGCATCCTGTTTCATTCTGAAAAAGGTGAGCCCAGGAAGTTAAAGTATTTTTATCAATTCCCTCTTACATTGTCTGATTTCATTAATAATCCAACAATCTCGACTTTCAAAGATTTTCTAGAACTCTGCTGGAGTGCCTGTTAGCCTAGCGAGTTTTAAGTTTAAAGACAAACATTACTCTATATTTAGCTCTTCAGAGTGAAACTTGGCACGATTGGTTGGATGTTTCCAAGAGTTTCTATCAAGAAAAGTACCTGTTAACACTGTTGAAATAAAAAAGCAGTTTACATTGTATCAACATGTAAATCTATGGAAAAGAGGGAAACCAGGAGCTTTCTGTATTTGCACCTTTTTGAAGTGCTTTCCAGAGACACTGCATGTTTGCTACATTACATGTTGTGTCCAGTTCTGGACTCCCCAGTATGAGAGGGAGAGAGAGAGCTACTGGAAGGAGTCTAGCAAAGGCCACTAAGATGCTGAAGGGACTGGAGCATCTCTTAGATGAGGAAAGAATGTGTGACCAACATCTCTTACTCTAAGAGATGTGGAACTGTTTCACCTAGAAGAGAAGGTTCACAGGGGATCTTATCAATGTATACAAGTGTTTGAAAGGAGAGTGTAAAGATGACAGAGCCAGGCTCTTCTCAGTGGTGCCCAGTGACAGGACCAGAGGCAGTGGGCACAAACTGAAATACAAGAGGTTCCCTCTGAACATCAGGAAACACGTTTTCACTGTGAGGATGACAGAGCACTGGCACAGGTTGTCCAGCGAGGTTGTGGAGTCTCCACCCTTGGAGATATTCGAAAGCCATCTGGACATAGTCCTGAGCAACTGGCTCTAGGTGGCCCTGCTTGAACAGGGGGTTGGACCAGGTGACCTCCAGAGGTGCCTTCCACCCTCAGCCACTCTGTGATTCTGTGAAGATAATGCTACCTTATGCCCAAAAGCACAGTGTAAAAAGCAGTCTCAGAAATGTAGCAAGGACTAGGAGGAAATAATTTACACTATGCAAATTTGGAAAATAACCCTCTCACTACATTGCTTCATTTGACTGGAAATCTTTTGGAATATAATAACCTAGACACTTTTTCCTTGTTCCTCACCAAAAATTTTTGACTGACCAAGTTTGGTATAGCACTGATCAGGCATATCGTGCACATCACTGTTGAGTTTTGGTACAAGCAGTATATTTAGGGATATGAATCTGCTATTCCTGAAATGTGAGAGTGAGATACCATGAAAAAAATATACCTAGTCACTATTTGTAGCACAATCACCTAGCACCTGTTGAACTGCTGAACTGTCCTTTAGAGTACCTCCTTACTTATGAAATAAAGTTAGATTATTTATGGAATAAACCTGCCACAGAATTTCAAATTACTAGGGTAAAAATTACCTCAATAAATTGAACAGAAAATAGCATCTATTCTACAGGAAGACTTCAGTCACAGTTATGCATTTGCAGCCTCTTCAGAAAACAGCAAACATAACAAGTCATAGCAAGCACAACTAAGTAAAATCATGCTTCTAGCACCCCATTTATTAGCCTATAGCTATTTAATTCTGCAAATGAAGCATTATCACAGGTTTGCAAAACTGTGACAAGCCAAGATACATTTCTACAACAGTGTAGGTCTCAGTTGTGTCTTGCTCTTAAGTGAGCAACTATATAGTCCTTGCATTGACACTGGCATTTGGCTGATTCCATGGCATTCCAATTCACGAGGAGCTGGCTGAAGTTAATCCTAGAAAAAGAAACTATAGCTTTCTTCTGTTTCAGCTCCTTGAAATGGCTCAGCATGAAAACAGGTTAATGCCAGTACCAGCACAAACAGGTGAGTTGAATGGTCAAAAAGGAAGGGTGGCCATTGATTTTAGCACTTGTTACCTACATCTATGACTATTCTAGATAGAGAATGAAAATAAAGTGCCTTTTTGTTTGTCAATCACAGTGTGAAAAGACAGGCAAGTAGACTCTGAATGGATGGTTATATCTGACAGTTCTGCAATATTTCCTGTAGAAGATACAGTCATCATTACGAGCAACTGAGTAAGTAAGAATAATTTTGCATGAGAGCAAATTTATAGAAAGGATAGCAGAATTTCATTTCCAGTCTTGTAGAGGAAGTGAGCATATTTCAGCTACTACATGCATTTCACTCTTCTCCGTAAACATTAGTAAGATATTCTGATATTGCAATACATGCTGGAAGAAATTCTTAGGATGACTTTTAGGAACATATATACACTAGATGTCCTTACTGTCAAATTTGCACATTCAATTATTTCAGGACACTTTCAGTTTAGCACATTCAGACTATTCTATTTGCTTTGCTTTTCATTCATTCATCTTCTCAAACCAGGAGAACACAGAGACACAATGTCCAAAACTGTTCATTAGTCCACAATTCATAAATAATTCACAGAAACACTACTTCATACTCAGAAAATGCATGCACATGAGACTGCCAGAGGGAAATAAGCAGAGGGTAACTCCCTGGGCTGAGCAGAGGGGATACCCTAAGGAGTGTATTTTCAAATAGATGAGACAAATCTGTGTGTGCAAGGCACAGAACTAACATTGTGAGTAGTTAACGATTACTGATACAGAACAAACTTGTTAAGTGTATAAACTAAGTACAGTTAAGATAGAAACAACATCTTTTAAAAATTATTCTGAAGGGACTTGAGCACTGGTCAGAACTTCTACTTAATGACAAGAATTACTCTATCTTTCTGTTGGCATGCAAATATACATCTCTGGGAATTTATAAAACTGCAAAACACCCAGCTAAAATGCACTGTAAGTCATCTACTAATGACATCTACTAGCACAGAAGCAGCATACTCCATACATAAGTTCATAAATATATCACTTACTTTTTGGCTTTTTACAAACGTAGCCTTTGTAGGAAGAGCAATAGATATTATTCCAGTACCCAGAGTTTGCGTACATTTCAACGCAGTGCTCATTTTGTTGAGGGGAAGGTTCTCCTACATTCCAGTTGACAAAATTCACTGCAGTGTTGTCTAGCCACAGCCATTCTCCTAATTGGAAAAACATGGAATATGGAAAAGCAAGAGAGTATTCATTTCCATCTTGACACCTGCTTCACATTTACTGCCTTCCTGAGAAATCTACTTGTGGCCACTCTTGAAGACAGGCCACTAGACTATTTAGATTGTTGGGCTGACACATCCTGCTGCCCTTAAGTTTTCATGCAAATGGTACAACATCAATTTTTGGAAAATGGCAGCCCAATCTGGCTTATGTTGTTACAGAGGCAAGAAAGTTTAAAGAATTATCTCCCACAATTTATTGCAATGGTGCAGTGTCAACTGTTTATTCAGTTTATAGAAATTACTAATGTCAAAACATAATTTATCTTCACCAGAATGCCCTTCATTTCAATAATTTTTAGGGAGGTTTTGTATTACTCTTTTCAAAGCCCCCAGGGAAGTTTTTCTAAGTCCAATTTTATTCCATTTGTTTTTCTGTTTCTGCTCCTTTCCACTGACTTTACACACACAATTTTCCTGTTTAAAGATCTGCATCAAAATCTTGTGGTCACTGTTGTTCAACTATGCTGGAACTTTCTGTCTCTTCCTTCCTGTTCGTTTATTTTTTTTCTTTTCTTTTAATAGTATTATTTATTTAGAATAAATGTGCCCCTTGTGACGCTTAAATTGTACTCAAACAAGCAAATTCTTAGACTCAGCATGAAAGCTGTTTTGTTTTCTTATAAATTTTTCATATTTTGCCTCTTCTTTTTTTTGTTTTTTTTTTTTAAAATACCTGCCACCCTTTGTGTCAGAGCATGCCATCTGGATACAAATGCTTTTCCAACAATATGAAGTTTAATTATGCAGTTATGCTGAAATGACTATAATCACTATCTAGTATTATGACAGTATTATGAAACATCTCTTGTGTTTATGATTACTGTAAGAACTGTATTGTTCTGCACCTGCTCTAGAACCCCTTTAAAATACATTTTAGGTGTCAATTAATGACACATGATTAAACCTCAGCTTTTATTTATGTGTTATCGATATAAATCATTACTCTCCTCAAATTCTTTCCTCCTCTACTGAAAACTTCCCCTTTTCCTGGTTAAAATTCAACTAATATATAATTGAATACTTGTCTTCTCCCCAGCTAGTTTGTTACTGAAGTGGTTGAGTAGGGAATTATAAAATAACCTCTCCAAAACTCGTGAAAACCCCACCCCAATTAACCTGAACAATTCTGCAGTCCTGCCTCTGACATTGTTATACTGGAGCTTTTATCCTGAACACCACAAGACTGAAGAAACTTTTAGGTCTATCATAAAACCAGAAATATCTATTTAATCAAATCCTAATTGTATTAATGGAAAAGCAATAATCAGCAAATTTAAGATTTAATTAAAGCAGCCTATTGCCTGTTCTCTCTTACCTTACCTTCCTCACAGTGAGGCAGAAAATAGAAAAACTTGTGATACACTATTCCAAAGACACAAACAATTCCAACTTCAAAGTGAAGGTGTTTTGAGGGCCAACTGTAACTAAAGATGGGTGACTGATCATTCTGCAATGGTGATTCCAAAGACTAGAGGTGATGTTAGCCACATTATTCCCTAGCTTAAAAATTGGAGTATCTCCATGACAGGCACTTCAGCCCAGGGCCTCTCCATGTTGAGAAGGATCATTTGACTTTGGCTCAACTCCCAACACAGTCCTGTCTGTACTTTCACAGAATCACGGAATTGTCTAGGTTGGAAAAGACCTTGAAGATCATCCAGTCCAACCATCAACCCAACATTACCAGTTCCCAACTACACCATATCCCTCAGCACTAAGTCAGCTCTACTCTTAAACCCCTCCAGGGATGGGGACTCCACCACCTCCCTGGACAGCCCACTCCAACACCTAACAACCCATTCTGTAAAGAATTATAATTAAAATGGCTTCGATGAGGAAAAAAAATGAAGACTGGGGAGTGAAATAAGTCTATGCAGACATCCATCTGTGTAATTTGATTTGTAATCTGTATGAAGAAAAAGCTGGGGGGGTGGGGTTTTTTTTGTTTGTTTGTTAGGTTTGTTTTTTTGGGTTTTTTTGTGGTGGTCAGACATTCTGGAGTAGTATTTTAGTAGCAAATAGATTAAGTATTAGAAGTCTTCTTCTAGAAACCTAACAACTGCTGAGACTCTAGTTAGATTTAGAACACAGTGCAATGAGCCCAGTTCCTATCAAGTAATTAGTGAACACAGATACTTGTCATCCTGCTTTAAAAAAAAAGCAACAAAGAGCAATCACATAGCTTATATTCCAGGAGCTGGTCCATCATATGTGGTTTTTTTAAAAGAACCACGACAATGTCCATCTTTCATTCTGTTGCCTCTGTTGTGCCTTTGTGGTGAAATGTTTTTTGTTTGTTTTAAAATGAACTTTCTGTGCCTGGTCTTTCTGTTATATACTACTGGTTATTGCTTCATAACAACTGACCAGCTTCCCCTATGATGATAAAATATTGCTTTTTCTAATTTCACTGTTTATGTATTACAGAAGTATAATGTGAAATTTTCAACACCCATGTCAAACAGCTTATGACAATTATTCACCAAACAAAAAGATGCCAAAAGTGAATAAATTACCATCCACATTTCTGTACATTCCTGTCCAAAAAGTTGATGTTTTCCCTTCAAGTGGTTCAATGGTGTTTGCCAGAAAGTTGGCTTCAGCTGAATCTTCAACTGATACCAAAGAGGCACCTGGAAGGCACAGAGAAAAAATACTCTCTTAGAGACCTAAGTTTCACACTGTAAAGCATTCTCATTGTCCTGTCAAATGTCAGTCTTATTTTTGCTAGTGATTATCTGTGCCAAATTCCAAACAAAGTTTGAAGTTCAAAACAGAAACTAATTTTGGGTAATAATTTAGGAGGGACTCCAGCATTGTTCCTGATGTATTTCTTACCATTTCCACGACACTGCACTAGCATTTTGTTTGTTTCCTCATCCACTAGGAAATAGCAACATAGCTGAACAACAGCTCTAGGCAAAATACAACAGGCCAACATGGTAACCAGCATCAATTTCTACTGATGTGTTACTATTTTTAAAAAACCCCAAAACACTCTGAAAAAAATTAAAAGTTTGTAGTAAAAAGTATGTATAACTTGTCTGTGCACAATATAACTTCACACATTAATGACTACAAGTTTTCTGAGCCTCTGTACAGCTCATGTATAGCACAGACTTTGCTGGCTTTCTGAAACACAGTCCTTAGTGTAACTCTTTAACCAGGTCTTATTTATTTTCCTACATTCCCTTTGTAGCCATCAGAGAAAGAAAGATCATCTCGGTCATCTGTAACATGTAACACTAGGCATTCTGACATGACTCATTCTGAAGGATGCTCTAGCAAAGTCACGAAGTCACAGCATGGAGCCAGCAGACAGAATGAGCGACATGACTTCGTGTGATGTGGCATTAAACACCGGAGAAAGTGCATCTCCAGTTCTCTTTAGTGTGGGGCTAGAACACAGTCAGTAGGTGTGGAGCAACATCTGTGTTTGGCACTTGGTTGTTTTGATTTGGCTGTTCAATTTTTGGTGGTATTTTTTCTCAGGTAAGGAAGGCACAGTTACAGAGACTGAAAATACAAAAGTCATTTGAATCACTACTGATAAATTCTACTACGGTTCAGAAGTCTACTATGGGTAAGATATAATTAGAAAGTGCCCAACTGCACACAAAACCCAGAGTGCAAGCAAGGACAGCAAAATAGAAGAGAACATGGAACGTTCCTCTTTTTTTTTCACTGTAGTCTTTATATTTTTTTATTTGTTCCTCTTTTGCTGAATGGTATCAGATGTTTGGTTACTGTTAGGTTATGTGATAAAAAGCTTCACTGCACATCCAAAACAGAGCAGAGAAGACAATGGCAGGTGGGGGACCCATTCCCTGGCTACTCCCAGGCCTGTCACAGGAGCCATCAGCCCATCAATGGCCAATCTCCACAAGCCCAGAGGAGCAAAGAGACACTATGGCAGGGGAAGAACCCAAATTGTGGACTCAGAGGGTGGGACATCCTTCTCAGGCCCCTCCTAGGGCTGCCAAGGACATCCTCAGCCCTAGTGTTCAGGCATGAAACCCATCAAGATCACATCAAAGTACCTTGCAGACTGAGGGGAGTTACCACCTGGGGGTATGGGACACATGATGGGATACAGAAGAGCATTTCAAGATTGCATAAGACTTATTATGAAATGTTCAGGGAAGGAACCAAAGGCAGGGAAAGGGATGAACCTAGATGATTTCGAAGGAACAAGCATGGGAAAATAGAAGGATAAGAGGATAAAAAGACTGGTCATGTCTGAACAGTTTTCAGGTAAGTACAAATTGTCTGGCCACACCTTGCACCTGATCTGGGCAGACAGTCTTATCTTCTTATTAAACTCTATTTCTAACTGTTTTCATGGGTGAAAGATTCCTCACTCTGTGTGAATGAACATGCATAGGGGTCTAAGTACCAGCAACTGCAGTGGGACCATGGATCCGTGGTGCCAGCAGCTGGAGCAAGTGCAGGTACACAAGTGTGTGTGTGATCACCAGGGAATATCAAGTCATCCCAGACAGCAAGTGAGCCATGTCTCTGTGTGCATCACCAAGGGTGAGAGAGACCACAAGCTGAGCTAGCTATCAGAGGGACCAGGGGAGTCCCAGTCAGCTGCTGGAAGGGCTGCAGGTCTCCAAGGATGAGACACACTGGTGTATGTGCATCTCTAAAGGTAAGACCAAGGAGGGGATGGCTGCCTGGGGACCAGGGGAGCTCCAGCTAGCTCTGTATGTGTCTGTGCTCTTGTGTGTCTCTACAGGCAAGACCACAGGAGATAGGTTACTGGAGGGACCTGTGTGTGTGTGAGAGAGACAGGGTCTGTACCAGCAAGAGGAGCCAGGCTGTGGCCATGGGGGCTTATATTTCCAGGTCCCAGCAACTGAAGACACTGAGATCCATGGGCCAGCTACTGGGCAAATCTAGTGACTGAGTCCAGCTGCTGGAGGGATCGCACTGTATTTATGTATGTATTCCTGCTAACGGACCTTAATCTGATCAGAGAGAGGAACACAATAAGGGTGTTGGAGCAGGTTGTGTTCATGCGAGTGCTCTGTGTTTCATCTGTGCTGATCTGTGTGGCTAGCCATGAATGTATGTATAGATGTGTTGTATACATGTGTGTGTGTGTGCACCTATAGGGAAGACATTCTCATCTTTGTCACTGTTGGATTTAGGAGCATTGAGCCACGGTAACCTTGCCTCTGCTGGGCTGCTGGATTCAGCCTGTCCTAGCAATTACCATGAAAGATTAAGGCTAGCATTGAAGGGAAGGGGATGTCAGTGATGTGAAGTCTTAAGTATACTAGCATTCAAACTTCAAATTCCACATAATACCAGTCTTTTACCACACATGCTGGAACAAATGGTAAGTGCCTTTTTTCAGGGATCTTAGTTCAACAGAAAAATGCAATTCTAATGTAACTGCAGATTCCAACAACAAATATGTGGGACAGCTGCAGACAACCTGAGTCAGAGAGTGGAGGCACCTGCTATTACATGCAATATCATCATTCAACTCCTCTTAAACTTCACCTTAGAAGTCTTTCATCTATTATTTGCCCCACTCTTCTTATTGAGTCTCTTTTAGAAACTCAGTCCTTCAAACAAAAGAAATGTTATTTAATTTCTCACGCAAGCTTATTCAAAATTACAATCATTCTACTTAAAGCAGAGACCTGCAGATAACAGATAACAGCTGTTATGCTCACAGCTGTCAAGGTTCTTTTCACTATCCATAACTAAGAACATACACTGCAGCTTTCAAAGACTGAGAATCTGTCATGTTAGTAAAAGAATTGAGAAAATGGTATGGAAATAGGTCACAGTGTAACAATTGCCACAGTCTTAAAGACTGAGCTGCAGCAAGAGTTATATTATGGAGACTTTTCAATATTTAAAAGTATATTATCAGTTATCTTCACCCAAATGTTACATAAATGTTGATGTGGAGAATACAATAATATTTAAAGCACACAGAATCATAGAAAAGTTTGGGTTGGAACGGACCTTGAAGACCATCTAGTTCCAACGACCCTGCCATGGTAGGGACACCTTCCACTAGCCCAGGTTGCTCAAAGCTCCGTCCAACCTGGCCTTGAACACTGCCAGGGAGGGGGCAGCCACAGCTGCTCTGGGCAACCTGTGCCAGTGTCTCACCACCCTCACAGGGAAGAATTTCTTCCTAATATCTAATCTGAATCTACCTTCTTTCAGTTTAAAACCATTACCCCTCATCTGATCACAAAATATACTTGTAAAAAGTCCCTTTTCATATTTCCTGTAGCCTGCTTTAAGTACTGGCAGGTCACTATGAGGCCTCCTCAGAACTTTCTCTTCTCCAGGCTGAACAACCCTAACTCTCTCAGTCTGTCCTCACATGGGAAGTGGCTCCAGCCCCCTGATCATCTTTGTGGCCCTTCTCTGGACCTGCTTGAGCAGGTCCATGTCCTTCTTATGCTGGGGGCCCCAGAGCTGGATACAGGTGAGGTCTCACAAGAGCAGAGTATAGGGGGAAAATTCCCTCCCTCCACCTGCTGGTCACGCTTCTTTTGATGCAGCCCAGGATATAATTGGCTTTCTGGCATGCAAGCACACATTGCTAGGCCATACTGAGCTTCTCATCAACCAACATCCCCAAGTCCTTCGCTGCAGAGCTGCCTCAATCTGCTCTTTGCCCAGCCTGTATTTGTGCTTGGGATTGCCTTGACTCACATGCAAGACCCTGCACTTGGCCTTGCTGAACTTCATGATGTTTGCACGGGCCCACCTCTCCAGCCTGTCCAGGTCCCTCTGGATGGCACATCCCTTCCCTCTAGCGTGTTAACTGCACCACACAGGTTGGTGTTGTTGGCAAACTTGCTGAGGGTGCACTTGATCCCACTGTTCATATCACCAACAAAGACATTAAACAGCACCAGTTCCAATACCGACACCTGAGGTCAAACACCGAGGTCAGTGGAAGAAACAAGGAGGAGGAGGAGGACAGGGGATGTGCCAGCACAGACACTCCCCTGCAGCCAGTGGTGAGAGGGCAGGCTCTTCTTCTCAGACCATGGAAGTCAATGGTGGAGCAGATGCCCACCTGCAGCCTGTGGAAGACCCCACACTGGAGTAGGTGGCTGCACCTGAAGAATGTTGTGATGCTGAGGGAAGTCCAAGCTGGCACAGTCTATTGCTGGGGGCCCTTCAGCCCATGGCAGGAACCCACACTGGAGAAATTCATGAAGAGCTGCAGCCCTGTGGGCTGTGGGAAGATGTTTTTAAGATGTGGTTGTATTTCTCGGTGTTCTACTCTGATTAGTAAATTAGTGTTGGTGGTGTTCAAATTAATTTGATGTTCTTTTACTTCCCAAGTCATCTGTCTTTTGCCCATGACTATAATGGGTGAGTCGTTCCTCCCTATCCTTGTCTCAATTCCTGAGCCTTTTGGTTTATTTTATTTTATCCCTGAGGTGAAAGGAGTGAGCAAGCAGCTACATGGTGCTTGGTTGCCCTCTGGGCTTAAACCACAAGACTAAAATATTATCCAGCCTTGAGAGCTGTAACTTTCATTCCAATGGCATGAAACTGCAATAATCAAGGGAAAAATCATATCAGGAATACAAAAGATATAAAATGCCATTTAAACATGGTTTAGTGACTGCTGTGGATGAGGCTGACTACCTCCTAGCAGGGTCAAAGGACAAAGTTTTCACTTTTGTGATCTCCACTCCAGGCCACACAGCTCCCCTAATGCCTGGTCCCACACACATGAAAGTGTATGCCGCTGATAGACAGATGTTTTCCATCTCCTCCCAAATTAAGGCAACAATTGGATGCAACTGTCTTATCTAACACTTAGACCATCCTAGAAGTAATAAAAATATGTAGTGCATGTTCAGCTTTCCACAGAGAGGAGCAATGAGTTAGAAAGATGTGCTCTTTCATTAAGGAGGATACTTACCTAGTCGAAGACATTCTAAAGATGCCTGGGCCCAGTTTCTTGTAGAGGAAGATTCAATGTAGTAGCAATGACCTCGGAAAGGAATCCAAGACTTGTGTCCTTCTGATTCAGGGCACTTCCCTGGAAGCTGAGGGGGCTCGGTGGGAGCTTGAACTGTTAAAAATAAAAAAAAGTAATTTAAAAAGAGAGCACAAGATTGAAAGAAACAGCTTCTTATACATTCTTTTAGCATGAATAGAGTATTCTAACTGAATGTTGGAAAACTCACTCATGTCTTTAAAAAAAAAAAAAGGTAATTTTGGTGGTCTATACTTCTTAGTATAACACAATAGTGGGAAGAAGTCCTAAATCTATGAACAAAAATACTGCAACTGTAGTATCAAGAAATCTAATTTAGCAAAGAATCCAAGCATACTTTTATCTTTTAACACATTCTTAAGTTCAGCTCAGCTCTTTACTCACAAATGTATTTTCACACCTGCCTTCTTTGCTGAATCAGGGCTCAGATGAATTTGGTCATACAGGCTGTAACTATTATCACTGAATGCAGAAGGCTTTATTAGATGATTGTAACGTGAGTTTCAGGTCAAAAACATAAGAGAAGGCAGCCTGAAGAAGTATCCTTAAACATTTCTATAGCACCTGTAATTTGTTATTCAGTTATAAAAGGAAAACCTGGAAAGCTGTTATAAGTAAACATTCCTTGTGACCCCTTATGGCTTGGTTATTCAGCTCTTCCCCCTTCAACACTGTACCCGTGTGACTACTACCTACAGTTCATTGCGTTTTGATTTTGAGGTTTTTAGTCTTGCATGTTTACTCAATATCAGAATAAATAGCAAGATAACATGATTCTATGCTTTGCAAAATATAACTAACATTATTAACATAAAGTGATGGCTATTCACAGTCACAGTATCTCCTTCTTACTATGTGTTGGCCTTCATTTTAAAGCAACACCATTCAACCCAAGTAAATTTTATTTCATCTATTTAGCTCTTGAAATAAAAAATAGCATCTAAGTATATATCAGAGGTCCACACAGCACAATGAACTCTAAAGAGATAATCTTTGTAATTACAATGGTTAGATTCAAGTTATTACCATCAGGTTTTTTGCAAACAGAGAAGTAACTTTCATTGCAGGATCCTGTCTTCCAGGCTCCAGCAATGTCTAGATAGACACAGCCTATTTTCTGCTTTGGCTCCCCTTCAGCCCATTTAGTATACTTCATTCTCCAGTTATCAATCCATTCATAACGCCCATTGGTCTAAGAACAAAACAAAACAACAGGAAAGATTAAATTCTAAGCATTAACCATTCTTTTATCGATCAAATGTCTATCTATGCAGCAGCTTGTTCTAGAAGATTTTTTTTAAGAAATCAATAACCAATACGAATGGCTTAAACTTTTAAATTCATTTTGTGACAAGCAGCCATTCATTGAGAAATACAGCAGTGCAGCAAACGCTCTTCAGCTAAAGAAAATGCAGAGTAAGTGACATATTGAATTAATTTTGAACTTAACAAACCTGTTAATTTGGGACTAATAAACATTTAATTTAAAATAATTTGTAGAAGTGAAAGTCTGATGACTAATTTTTGTACTATTTGTTTCTGCCCCAAATATCAAGAAATGTTATTTTAACTTAAAGTATATTTGAAAACTTAATAATTTCCCACCAAAGCTGGTGAACTCAGTGGACAATCCTGTTGATTAGGTTAGGGCAATCTTTCAGTTTTTAGGAAGTGGTGTGTTATGTCCACTCATTTGTATTTCTTTCATGTGCTCAGCCAAATGGAGTGAATGTGGGACATATGTCTGTGCCAAGAAGAAACGGTGGTATATTTTAACCCAGAAAGTATCAAAATAGCAAAGAACTGGGAGAGGAATAAAATTAATCCAGTAAATCAATTAATTATTTGGCAAACTAGCATCAAAAATGTTGAAAAAGTCATAGCAACAGCACTTTATTTCTGAAAATTTGGTGTTGTTATTTAGAATAAATGCTTTCCACTGTACATCTTCAAATATGTGGATTTTATCTCAAATGCACCATACATACAAAGAGATATTTCAAGATGCTAGCCTAAAAAATGTCTCATTTGGAAGTACACAGAGTGTCGTATCACAGAAAATGTGTGAAAAATGTGTAATATTTACAATTTAATCAGAGTAATGGAAGAGGACAGATTCCTACCTGTAAATCTGACAACACATAAAAATATTTAGGACCAAAATATAAACTAATAAAGTAAAGTACAGAGAGATAATTGACTTTTCAGTTCCTGATTTGTCCGTAAGAGAAACAGCATCATGTTCAACTAGTCTGATGTTCTTACCACATTACTGTTAAGTCCAATCCACATAGGCACCCCATACTTTAATATCTTTAACCACAGGAATGAATGACTGTAGGGGTCTAAGATGCTGGAAAGGTCAAACTGATCGCGTTTGCAGTTTTTTCGTGCATCCTCCCATTTCATTTTGGTATGGATGAACAAATAACTGCTGTTACCATAACGGATAATGCTGGATGGGGATGAACTTGCAGAAGGCAGAAACTCAGCATCTGTAAAATAAAGGATTAAAAAAGTCTCATATACTTGTTCAAAAGGGGACAGTGATTTCGCGGTGACTGCAAACAGAATTAAACAAAAAGCCACTTTTCTTGTTTTTATGTTCGCTGACTTTGATCAGCATGAGTTAGATGTGCTTTTCTTTAAACCAGCAGCAGTAGTAAAACTCAATTGTAACTGAGTAGCTGTAGAAAGGAAAAGAGCTGCTTAAAGCAACCTCTGGAGTTATACTCCTGTTACAAGGAGTAAAGGAGCATTCTGTATAATCCTCCAGAATAGTATTACTGAAATGAATTAGGATTAGATTAGGTCACAGTTTCTCTAATAAAATATTTTTTCATAAAAAAAAAAAAAAAAAGCTGTTTACAAGGGATTTTTTTTCCTGATTAAAGAAAACCTCCACAACAGACCAGTCCTTAAAAATCAGATATTTAAATCCAGGTTTTCATTGCTTTTTAATTTCCTTTTTGAAGGTGAGTCAGCTCAAGTTCAGTGCAAGTGAGTTACAGCTGTGCTCCAAACACTTCATGCTACATATACAAGCCAGTATTTTCCAGAACATGTTTTGTACGTTTAGAAAATGACAGACAAAATCATGGAACAAATATCACGTCAAGGGTCATACTAAACACAAAGATGCAGATACAAATTCCAGCTCGGGAAGGTAGCAACATGGTAGTTACGGGAAAGGGTCAGCTGAGAGTAGTGACTCTAACTGGACCTCTGATACATATGACCCTTGTGTTCCTGGTGAAAAACAATTTGTGGATGTATTCTTATTGGAAGTGAAATGATGTTGAAATACACACACCCAAGCAATTCCCTGAAAAACCATGTTTGATCATGTTTTAACTAAAAAGACAAGTACCTGCATTAATTTGGCATATATATCCTCTGTTGTTATCACAACTCTCATCAGCCCACTTCCCTGCTTCCTTAACAGGATTGTTTCTCATGACAACACAATCAGCCTTGAGGCAAAAAGATATAAAATCAGTTACAAATAGCTATAAGAAGCAAATATAAAACTTTTGTCCCCCTTTTACATCTTCAGAAACAAGTGATGCTGTAGTTTTATATCCCTGTAACATGTAAGAGGATAAATTTTATGATGTGGAGGTTCTGTTCCTCTTGCACTTCACAACTTTCTTAATGTTGCTCTCTTACGCAACACTGGGGTGGATAAGCAGACCACAGAAATTTCGGTATTCTCATATCTTAAGGCATACGTCATGGAGAGAAGGAAAGCCACAGACAATTTAAAGAGAAGTGAAATCGGCTATTGTGGAAAAGAACGGTTAGCTTTGCCCCAGAAAAAAACAACTGGACCCTAAACGGGCCGTGCAACATTTCTGACATACCAGTCTCTTCAAATTTATTGTTGCAAGCTGCAATAGTACACAGCAAAATTAGAACTGCTCCTGCCCAAAGGCAGCCATTGATCTTTCAGGAACACCCTTACAGACACATCTCCACCTCTCTGACATAGTGATGATAGCTAGAACCTAATTAGCACACATTAAACAAACAGTTATGAATGCAAAAAGGCTGCATGAGTACAAATGGTTTTGTGCAATGAAACATCTATATTTATTTTATTCTATTTACTTATCTGCTTTTGTTGTCCAGGAAGAGATGAAGAAACACTTCATTTGTAAGTGAAATCATTAAGATTTAAATCTTTCAAACTGAACAGTTGCATAGTATTTTTTATTAACTATGATAACTTTTTTTTTTTGGTTAAAGTCAAGTAAACTTAAAAATAAATCTGAAATTTACAAAATAGAGACTTTATGAGTTTTCACAGAAGACTTCACAGAAATTCTACTACTTCTCATAAAAAGATAATTGTTCCTCCCAGGAGTAACATTTTAAAGATGTTTTCTCTTTTGAACAAATTCTCCCAATTTTCTCCCTCCATTAGAGATAAGAAGCTCAGAGGTGCTACATTCAAGAACAGGAAAAAGGACATTATACATAAAAATAAGATTTCTACATTCAAAATGGCATTCAAGAGAAATAGAGTTAGTACTATAATGTGCTGTAGTTCCATAGCACAGAACTAAAACACATAAGATCAGAGAGAGGAACTTCATGACCTCCTAGATCAGTTTGTATGACAGAGAAATAGGGGAATTTTCTTTTTTTTCTTTTTTTTTTTTTTCTTCCATAAAAGCTGAATGGCTGTCTTTCCTTTTATAGAAGCACCTCCTTTCTACAAATGTGACTGACAAAATTTGCTTCTGTGTAAGACATGGCTGTTTGAAAGGAACATGTGTAAGTGCCCCTTTCAAGCTACATGCCAACTGAGAAACCTGCTATGTTCAGGCACGGCTGTGATTAGAGGACAAGGAGGATGTGCTCATACAGTGTGATTTTGGGGCAAATGCTGGAATCCCACTGTACTCTTTACCAGATCCTATAAGAGAACATGGGGTGAACACAGAAGCAGCGTAGCCTTCACTGAAATCTGAAACCAGTCTTTGTAAGAGCCCTCCACAGATCCTGTCACCAACTAATACAGCAACTGCCCAAGGGCTCAAAACCATTCACTCCATTTGGATTTATGTTTGACATGTAAAAAAATATGCAAGTAATAAGTCAAGCAGTAACATGTCTCAAATCCCAACAAATGAGGAAATACAATCTAAAATCAAATTTCAGTGAACAATTTGTGATTGCTATTTACCTGGCCATCATATGAGTATAAATCCATATGTCCTGATGGGAAGCCTTTGGCCCAGTTTGTAAAGTAAACTCCTGTTCCATCTGTCCAGAGGAACCTCAGTTCATGATTTATATCATTTAATCCAATCCATGTATCAGCAACAAAATCTTTCATATGGAAGGTGAGGAAAGCTAGAGTAAAAAAAGGCAAAGAAAAAATTAAATCATTTTAATGGAGGGCAAATGAAATGTCCCGAGACTGGTGATATTAAATATTTTTTTCTGAAATGCAGAACACTTCATTGTTGACAAACACAAGAAGGTAAGATGAAAAGGAGGTGACTCTTGAGTTTAATGAACAGGGAACCAGATATGCCTTTGGGCAAAATAACTTCATCTAAGTATCTAATCCCAAAGACATAACAGAAATGCTCTTTATAATGTCTCAAAACACTTTTGAACCCTAGTCTGACAATTAACTTAGAAATATACAGCCATGTAGATAACATACCTTTCTGATAACCCCACCTGAGTGGTTACCCACCAATGGCATCAGACAGCACCACTGAGCACCTACGATTTGTGCATGTGCACAAGTAATGCTGTTACAGAGCTGCAGGTGTGTTTCCTCTCCCCCTGTCACACCTGGGCAATAGCCTGAACTGTCTTAACAGGGAGCAGAATGCACAAGCAACATGTTTAAAATGAGTCTCAACAGAACTATTCATCACAAGCAAATCAGTCACCATAGCTTTGCACAGTCCAGGAAGGCACTTATGTGTCTTAGCACGGCTAGCTCACAAACAGAGCAGGCTAGGCATTCAGCAACCCACTAATCCACAATACAAACACTGTGATAGAATGACTATCATGACTTTTCTCTGCAAACAACAGATGAACTTCTGTCTGTTCTATAAACCATTCACCTTCCTTTAGTCTTTTAAAATGAATGCAACTTCTACTTCCAGGAATGAAGCTACAGATTTCTTTGCCAAATGTTCAAATTGCTGTTCTGCCAGAAACTGTAACAGAAACCCAAGCCTTTATGCCTACATTGCCAGCAATAACGTTTTCTGCTAATAGCTTTCTTTTCCTTAGAATTCAATCCCTCTACATGAACCAACCACCTGAAATCTGTACTGCAGAAATTATGTTGGGTAAGTTTTTAACTATATTTGAAAAGTGAAACATTGATTCTTCATCTCTTCACATGTGTAAAACATAAGTAGTACTAAGTTCATGTCAGCAGTCTAAATTTAAACTAATTAATTGCTCAGACTAAAACAAAGACTTATTTTACAATGCTTGATTTTTCAGTATGTTCTTTTGAGTTCACAAACAGTATATGTTGTGCAACATCTGTTTCTCATCACCATAATATAAAACAGTATTTCTAAAAAGAGGGTGTTATTAACGTCTATCAGTATCTTCCCCAAAATTTAATTTGAATTACCTCAAGGATGAGGTAATTTCCCTATGCTCATCTCCCCCAGTCAGGGATGCACCTCTTAGGTTAATTAAACTAAGCTCCTGTAGTGAAAAGAATGGTCCATCTCTGTGGTGAGTTGTGGGTAGGTGTAAGAGCTGTCAAACTTCTGCCCCAAGCTGCCCAGAGACAGCAAGTTCTCATCCTAAAGGTGTTCATCTTGAGTTAACAGGAAAGCCATGCAGCAAGTTAATGCCATCTAGCGAGACTACATAATTTGGAATGGATCTTGCTGGGTCCAGCTGGCATCATATGTAAGCAGAAAAAGTACTACTTGGGCTGCCAGGACAACATACATGTGTATATATACCTAAGCCAACATTAAAATTTTGTAGATGCAGGTGAAGACTTCATTGTAAATTTCTAGAAATTGTATGTTTTTTAACAGAAATCAGATGTGCAATCATTTTTCAAATCCTGCTCATAGTCCCACAAATACAACAGCCATCCTGGAAAGACCAAATGTCATCTCATCTAGTTGCTTGCTGCAAAACTATACACAGTACCTTGCACTTGTTCATTATGGATAGTGGCCAGGTTTCCTCCTAAATTCATGCAAGCTGTTCGTGCAGCATGCCAAGTGACACGTTCATCTTCCATAGATCCAAATATTTTGTAACACTAAAACATGAAAAAATTCTATATATATTATCTTTACTCCCAGATTGAAACCCACTGCTTTAAGAAAAGCAGGATGGAGAAAAGGCAGTAAAATAATGCATTTATCTGAAAAAAAAACACATTCAGCTTGAGTTTTTTGTGCTTGTCCTTGCTCTACATAAAATTAAAGGTCTCAAGAAAGTGTTTTGCTCAGCAAGACACATACAAGATTTGACCTGAAATCCCTAGAAAATAAGGAAACCTGACTTTTCATAGACAGTCAGCTAACAGTGCTAAGTTATGCATGATTGATACTAGTCTGCCTGTTTATTCAACTCTACAAAGCATACCATGTTAGTAAAGGAAGACTAATTATATTCAGTACCGAAAAAGTATTATGGTTTGGTTGAAAAACATCAAGATCAAAGCATCGATACTGCAGGAACTTGGTCTAAACTCTTTAAGAAATGCACAGCAAAAGATTTGAAGTGACTAGAGAATGACTTTTCAACAACTGCAACTGAACAGGCTTATCTGCCAATACATGAGAAGCATCAAAAATCTACCTATCTTACAAAACAGTGAATAGGCAAACAAAGAAAAGCAAGGAGGCATCAACCAGCTCTCTCCAAAAAATAATAAGATTTTACTCTAATAAGAAACAATACTATTATTCTCGTTTTCTATTTAATGCTTTGCCAAACATCCAACATGCACTGTATCTGTTATGGTACCTTATTATGAAAGGAAAGCCAAGTTGGATGACATCCTCTTGGAGCTGAAATTGTTGTTGGAGGAACAGTTGAATTAATGGAACTGTTGTGCCTTTCACATATGTAGGGATTTGGATAACCACAGTTTATATCATTCCAAAATCCTGAATGTAAAATAAAGGGGGAACTGTATGACACCACATCCAGAGCTGGTTAAATGGAAATCAGTTTCACTCATTCTTACACAAAGTGCTTTTAGTTGAAAGATCAGTTCCTCAGAGTATCTCAGTTTACTATCATTCTATATCAGCATCCAGGATAAATATGTAACCTTATACAAACTGTTATTACAGAATGTTAAAAGCAGTGTAGAACCAGGTACTAGAAATATCAGTCTTACAGTGGTACATTAGGCCAATTTTAATCAAAATTATAAAACAGCTGTCTATAAAAACAGAGGTCTGTCAAACAGACTTCTAACAGAGCTTCCGCTGTTAACAAGAGCACAAAACTCTTAAGTCCTGGAAATAATACTATGGTCTACTTCTATAACATTTGGCAAAGGAGCAAAAAAAAAAAAGGGGGGGGGGGGGA